TAAATAAGGAAGCAAGTCTGAGATATACAGTATGTCCATCTCCAGCCCTTGTAAGAAGCACCATGGTGATTTGGGTTGGCACTGTTACTTAACATACTACCTACCCCCAAAGACATTAGAGGAGTAGAGCAAATTATTTGTCTGCCTCCTGGAAGATGCCAACAACTAAGAGAGGTGTTCTGGACCTACTAGGAAATGGGGAATATCCTTCTAATACCTCTTTATAGTTTTCATGAATCTCTAGCAGACTCACAACCTTTTCCGAGAGGTCCAAAAACCTCTGAACCCCAAAGCAATGCAGATTTTGTGTGATTTGGGGTTTACTTATAAAAGTTTCATATAGTCTTATTCATTAGGATTACAAAGATAGTTATTGCATAATACATGGAATGCTGTTAAACACTCAACCTATGTGAAAAAAGCGCCGTCATGATTTCACACCTGAGAATGGGAGTCCATCAAATGTAGAAGAGAATGGATCCATGTTAGACTCTGCCTCATAACCATCAATATTTGGAAGAGAAGAAAAGCTCACTACCAGCTGGCATTTAGGAATCTCAGACCCAGAAAGAATGGCATTAAAGGGAGTATAGATAGTAGTGAGGTGCAGTTTAAGGAGCTGGTATTTTATATAAATAAGGGGGAACACATCAGTATAATTGCAAGGTTATTATTCTATTGAATGACTCTAGTGACCAAAAAAAAATGAAAAAAAGTCACTTCATTCACACAAGCCACACTGAAAATGGCTAGATCGATTCCAGATGATTCACGAAGCTCCACACGGATACCAGGGTCTGTCTGCCAAGTTGTGCATGTACAATCAGTGTTATACTTTAGGATGGCACCTTAACTCCTACTGGAATTGCATCCCCATAATTCACAATTACCTGTTGTTTGTTCCATATATATCAATGGGTTACAAAGATTGCATTTGTTTACAGTTAACAATTACTTAATACATTTAGTACAATTAATAGAGTTTATACACAATCTTGCTACTCAACTGGTGATTTAACGTATAAGTCATTTGGTAAGCTTAAATTAAATATACAGTTATTGAGGAGACTTCATTTAAAGGGATATTGCAAGGTCAATGGTATTTAGGATTTAATACAAATTTAATTACTCATTCGTCAATATTTCTGGAATATTAGTTCAGTGGACCGCCTTAAAGAGCTTATTGTTATTGTCAGGTAAGCATTATTTATTTGAGCAGATATTCTCTATACTTAGAAACAAGAATATTGCGAGAATCATTAATATTTTCTTAATGGTAAGATAAAAACAAACATTTTAAAGATGCCTGTTTTATCAAACTATTTTGATATCTTGTAATACAAAATTATTTGCACCTCTATTGATATAGCATATTTTAGCTATATCCCTGCTTATGTATGTACTATCCTGCCTTATGAGAATTTTGTATTTCATGAAGTATGGTAATTAAAGAGGTAAAATCAACACATAGGCACTGTACTAGTAAAGAGCCTTCCAGGGACTGGAAGCAAACCTGTATTTAAAGCATTTTAAAAGAATTCCATGGGGACCAAACTGGCCCAGTGAGGAGGAGGAAAACCTTCAGATACTATGGTGATATAAGAGAATGGATAGATGGAGCAATACATGATGGATTTTATTTTTGAGGAAAGCCATTGCTCTTTCTCTCTGTGGCATGTGGACTTGAGCAAAGCAGGTTTCTAGCTCTGAGATGAACTGTGAGAAGTAGTATGAGAGCCGATGTAGAATACATCGATTTTAAAGCTAGAAAAGATGTTTGTAGCAGAAGGAAGTAGGAAAGTTCAGCTTGGACCTGCTTGGTTCAACAAAGCCTGAGTTTGCTGACCGCCTGGGCACACTGCAAAGTCTGCAGGTGAAATCCTGGGCCTGCTGAAGTCAATGGCAACATTTCATTAATGTCCATTGTGCCAGGATTTTACCCTATATGTTCGCTCTGGATTTTTATGAAAAGCAAGCTTAGTAGTAGTGAATGTGTGAGTGGCTTGGAGCTTGTTTTATTGTCATTTTTGTTAACATTACATTTATATTTTTATGGTGATGTATGTTTTAAATAAATTCCTTTATGGTTTAGGAACCTAGAGAATTGCGGTAGCAAATAAATCAGTTGGCATATAAATCAAAAGCTGCGTAATATGAATCAGCAAGTGAGAGAAAGATAAAAATCTAGTAGAAAAGGAATAAAAGGACAGGGACTCCTATATGAAAAGTAACACGAGAGCATTACAGTCGGCTGAAGTTTTACAAGCTATAAGTACAAAACAGGTTCTATAAAGGTTGCAAATCCATTTCTGTTACAAACCCACTGTTCTGATATGATCTCAATTTTCTGAAATTGGGCTGAATATTTCGATGCTTGGTCTTCCTCCTAAAATTAGGTGTTTTTTAAAGACTGGACTAGACTCTCTTCAGTCATTTGAAGGTTAGGAAGTGAAGAGCAGGCCTTTTTCCTCATTATAAAAAAAATTAAATTAAACCCATTGCAGCACTCCTCGTGCAGTATGATACAAAAATGGCTAACCATTGAAACTTGAAATATGCTAGGGTACATGTATATATTTTGCTTAGTTTAAAAACTACTGACTGTTAAGTGACCCAGTTACGTTCATTTGAAAATGTGCTGCCGCTCATGCTGAGACGAAAACTCCCGTCCTGTTTATGAACTATGAACCTTGTCTCAGAATATGCCAGACTGAATCCTTGATAACTTTAGAACTTCCAAAGTGATTTTCTTCAAACATTCCTTGATGTTTATATCTTGAAGATCTACAAACCAAGATAGATTTGAGGACTCTGGCGTCAGTAGCTTTAGCGTTATGCATGCATAAACTTTCTGAGTCAAACACCTTCTCTGAGAATTCACAAAACGTTATATTTGAAAAATAGTAACAGGCAATTATTGTCAATAATTAGGCTGCATTATAATGCAGATGCACAAAGGGATTAAAATAAAGTATGCCCAGTCAACCTTACCTTTCATATTTCCTGACTTCTAAATGCTTTATTGTACAAGTTAATGTTGTCTGAACGAATATTTTGTATGGGATTGTATAGTAATGGCCCCAAATTAAACAATTAAGTAATACAATTAAAATGCATTTTTCAATAAATATTTTAAGAGTAATGAGGCAAATAGGATTCACCGTATGGGACAATTTCATCATGAAACTCTGTTACACAGCAAAGCCACAAGTTTTCCTTTGTTGCTATCTAAGAGAATGATGTTTCTTTCCAAAAGACACTATGCTCCGTTCAGCCCTGCTGGTACCAAGGGATGCAAACTGCATGTTGCTGCACCTTCTCTGGGTATGACCATGTTCTTCTTCTAGTCGTCTACACTACTAAATTAGGTTGATTTTATAGAAGTCGATTTTTAGAAATCGATTTTATACAGTCAATTGTGTATGTCTCCACTAAGCGCATTAAGTCAGCGGAGTGCGTCCTCACTACCGTGGCTAGCATCGACTCACGGAGCAGTGCACTGTGGGTAGCTATCCCACAGTTCTCGCAGTCTCCACTGCCCATTGGAATTCTGAGTTAAGCTCCCAATGCCTGATGGGGCAAAAACATTGTCACGGGTGGTTTGGGGTACATGTCATCAGTCTCCCCTCCATCCTTTCCTCCCTTCCTCCATGAAAGCAACTGCAGACAATCATTTTGCGCCTTTTTTCCTGGGTTACCCATGCAGACACCATAGCACAGCAAGCATGGAGCCTGCTCAGCTCACTGCTGCTGTTGCAAGCATTGTAAACACCTCACGCATTACACTGCAGTGTGTGCAGAACCTGGCTAAGAGACAGCAGCATGAGGACGATTGTGAGGAGGACATGGACACAGACGTTCCTGAAAGCACGGGATGTGGCAATTGGGACATCATTGCAGCAGTGGGGCTGGTTGATACAGTGGAACGCTGATTCTGGGCCCAGCAAACAAGCACAGACTGGTGGGACCGCATAGTCTTGCAGGTATGGGATGATTCCCAGTGGCTGCGAAACTTTTGCGTGCATAAGGTCACTTTCCTGGAACTCTGTGAGTTGCTTTCCCCCACCCTGAAGCACAGGAATACCAACATGAGAACTGCCCTGACAGTTGAGAAGACAGTGGCTATAGCCCTTTGGAAGCTTGCAACGCTACCGGTCAGTCGGGAATCAATTTGGAGTGGGCAAATCTACTATGGGGACTGCTGTGATTCAAGTAGCCAATGCAGTCACTGACGTTCTGCTATCAAGGGTAGTGACTCCAGGAAATGTGCATATCATTGTGGATGGCTTTGCTGCAATGGGAGTCCCAAACTGTGGTGGGGCGATAGACGGAACGCATATCTTGGCACCAGACCACATTGCCAACCAGTACATAAACCTCAAGGGGTACTTCTCAATGGTGCTGCAAGCACTGGTGGATCACAAGGGACGTTTCACCAACATCAACGTGGGATGGCCTGGAAAGGTGCATGATGCTCGCATATTTAGGACCTCCGGGCTGTTTGAGCAGCTGCAAGAAGGGACTTATTTCCCAGACCAGAAAATTACTGTTGGGGATGTTGAAATCCCTTGCTCCCATGGCTCATGAAGCCATACACAGGCAGCCTGGACAGTAGTAAGGGGCAGTTCAACAATAGGCTGAGCAAGTGCAGAATAGTGGTAGAATGTGCATTTGGATGTTTAAAAACACGCTGGCGCAGTTTACTGACTCGGTTTATGGCAGGGTAGGAGATTGAGGCAAATTGCCTGGCTGCCAATTTTGAACAGCCAGAAAGCTGGGCAATTAGAAGAGCACAGGATGGTGCGCTGTGCATCAGAAAGGCTTTGAAAACCAGTTTCATGACTGGCCAGGCTTCGGTATGACAGTTGTGTGTGTTTCTCCTTCATGCAAACCCGCCCCCTTTGTTGATTTTAATTCCCTGTAAGCCAATCACCCTCCCCCCTTCGATCACAGCTGGCAAAAGAAATAAAGTCACTATTGTTTTGAAACCATGCATTCTTTTTTTTAATGAATTTTTAAAAAAGGGAGATAACTGATAAGGTAGCCTGGGTGGGGTAGGGTGAGGTGGGGGAGGACGGGAGGAGGCAAGGACAAGGGCACATTGCTTATTGTAGCTACACTACAAATCAAAACTCTTTGAATGACAGCCTTCTGTTGCTTGGGCTATCCTCTGGAGTGGAGTGGCTGGGTGCCCGGAGCCTCCCCCCCGACCCCGCGTTCTTGGGCGTCTGGGTGAGGAAGCTATGGAACATGGGGAGGAGGGAAGGCGGTTGTACAGTAGATGCAGTGGCTGTCTGTGCTCTTGTTGGCTTTCCCGCAGCTCCACCAGACGCCTGAGCATGTCCGTTTGCTCCCCCATTAGCCTCAGCATTGCACCCTGCCTCTTCTCATCGCACTCACTTAATGCTTTCCTGGCCTCTGCCACTGAATGCCTCCATGCATTCAGCTGTGTTCTATCAGTGTGGGAGGACTGCATGAGCTCGGAAAATATGTCAACGCGAGTGTGGTTTTTTCGCCTTCTAATCTGCGATAACCTCAGGGACAGATTTGATAGGGGGAGTGTAGAAACATTTGCACCTGCAGGAGGATAAAAAGGGAGAGTAAAATTTAAGATGATACATTTCTGAGAACAAAAGGGAGACTCTTTCACAGTGAATCAAGCAATTTACAGCAGACAGCATATGTGCTTTAGGTAGAAGATCACATTTTCCCTTATTTTGAGCACCTGCTGGTATGGTGACACATCACATATGGCTGAGCAACAGAACTGGGTTTCCAGGCAGCCAAGGTAAGCCAAAGGGTATGTGGGTTTGGCTTCTAACGCCTTCATAACATGTGGAAATGTTTTCAGACTGCAGCACCCACCTTTCCCATAGCAAGCAATGCCGGTTGGGTTTGCCATTTATAAGGAGGGGCTGCAGTTTTCAGGTGGATGTGCAGCACACACCTTCCCCCACCCCTCCGCATGGATACTTGGGATGATCCCTTCATCCCTCCCCCCGCCGCGTGGCTATTCTCAGTGATGATCCCTTTTAGCCAAATGCAAACAGCCCAGCATGAACGGGGTCCTTTTACTGTTCCCTTACAAAAATTCCCCTATTTCAACCAGGTGACTATGCATGATATCACTCTCCTGAGCCTAACACTGAAAAATATGGACAGAATGTTGCTTGAATGCGACCAAAACCCAGGACCATTCGCTGCCATGCTTTGTGCTGCAGTGATTCCAGACTACTTGCTACTGGCTTGGCATAGTAAAGTGTCCTACCGTGGAGGACAAAAAAAGGCTGCACTCCCCAGAACCCTTCTGCAAAGGCTTTTAGAGTACCTCCAGGAGAGCTTCATGGAGATGTCCCTGGAGGATTCCTGCTCCATCCCCAGACACGTTAACAGATTTTTCCAGTAGCTGTACTGGCCGTGAATGCATCCCAAGTCTTCAGGGCAAATCAAACATTAAACACTATTGCTTTTAAACCCTGTACTGTAGTTACAACTGTGCATTCACCAGAGGTGCCTTCTCCGGCTTCAGGGTCGGGGATCCCGGCTTGGGGGAGTATTGGCTCCAGGGTGATGAAAAGGTCCTGGCTGCCGGGGAGAACGGATTCACCGCTTGCCTGCTGCGCATTCTCCTCCTCCTCCTCTTCCTCAGCCACAAAATCCTCCTCCATGCTGCGTGAGACTCCCCCCTTGCAGGTGTCCACGGACAGTGGTGGGATAGTGGTAGGGTCCCCCCCTAGAATGGCATGCAGCTGATCATAGAAGTGGCATGTATGAGGCTCAGACCCGGAGCGACTGTTTCCCTACTTTGTCTTTTGGTAGGCTTGCCTGAGCTCCTTGACTTTCACGCGGCACTGCCGTGTGTCCCTGTTGCAGCCTCTGTCCAACATGCCCTGTGCGATTTTGGCATGTATATCAGCATTTCTTCTTTTGGATCGGAGTTCTGCCTGCACAGATTCTTCTCCCCGTACAGCGATCAGATCCAGCCTCTCCCGTTTGCTCCACAGTGGAGCTCGTTTGCGATTCTGGGGGGACGGCATGGTCACCTGTGCTGCTGAGCTCACTACGCTGACCACACAGGAAATGAAATTCAAAAGTTCCTGGGGCTTTTCCTGTGTACCTGGCTAGTGCATCGGAGTTGAAAGTGCTGTCCAGAGTGGTCACATTGGAGCACTCTGGGTTAGCTCCTGGAGGCCAATAACATCAATTTGCCTCTGCACTACCGCAAATTCAACCCAGCAAGGTTGATTTTAGCGCCAAGATGGAGTATAGAAGTCGATTTTAGGAGCCCTTTACGTAGATGGGACGGGGTTGCTTGTGTGGACGCATTCATTATAAAATTGACCTAACGCAGCTAAATTCGACCTACCCTGTAGTGTAGACCAGGGCTTATTCTCCCTCATTCTGCCTTTCCTGATTTTGTTGTCTCCTCTCTAATTGCTCCCACGGCGTCTCTTTTGCAGGATCCTCTTTGTCCACATTGCAGCTTTCAGTGGGGACCCCACAGGGTTTTGTCCTTGTCCCCCTCCTCGTATCTGTCTCTCCTGGTGATCTCACTCAAAAACACTGCTTCCGCTACTATCTTTAGAATGACAACTCACAGATCTACCTCACCACTCTCTTCTGTCCAAACTACATTTTTGACCTTTCTTTCCGGAATTTCCTTTTGATGTCTGGCCAAGTTAAACTCAATATGGCCAATATGAGCTCTTCTCCCCCTTTCTGAATCTCTATGGATACCATCATCATCTTTATCACTCAGGCCTGTAACTTGGATCTCATCTTTGACTGCACCATCTCTCCAAACCTACACATTCAAGCCGCTCTCAGCCAAGCCCTCGTCATTTTCTCATCTTGACCACTGCAACTTTCTCTTTCTGAACCTGACAAATGCCATCCTACCCTCTCAAATCCATTCAAAATCCTGCTGCAGAGATCTCCTTCCTGGCTTTTTGCATCTGCCTACCAGCTAGCTCTGTTTTCTCCACTGCACCAAATACAAATGTCTTCTCTTCACTTTCTAGCTGCATCCTCCCTATCATCTCGTATATACTATTGAGTCATTGATCCCCACCGACACTCTGGTAATGATACCAACCCCTGTTGCCCAGTAGACCCATTTTTCCAGACTCACCTTTGTGCTTTCTTCCCTGCCACCACTTCTCCATGGGAGGAGCTCCCCATACAAATCTGCAAGAGAATACATAATCCTCCTTCAAAGCGCTCTTTAAAACTCACTGTTGCAATGCCTACAAAACACTAGGCAGTTGGTGTGCTGTGACTGTGGCTTATTACGCTAATCAGAATGATCTAACTCTTGTGCTTCCCCATCTGTTTGCTGTATCCACCAGTTGTCTTTCATTTTATACGTAGATTGTAAGCTTTTCAGGGGAGGGGCTGTCTTTTCATTAAGTGTCTCTGTGTCTGTGTGTCCAATACAATGGGACCCCAATGCCTGTTTAGGGCCTCTAGAGGGTCTACAATTCAAATAATAGATAATAATGATCATAAATAGAAAGGTAATTTTCATCCCAGAAAACTAAATTAGATTCCTGCATCTTAGGTAAAAATATCTGTGTTTGTCAAATGTGCATCACTATTCATTAAAGCTTTGTAAATGTGCATACTTTCAGCTTAATAGGAAAGTAAGCAAATCTTGTCTTCTACTTTCCTTGGGGATGATGGTGTCTTCAAGGGGAAGATAACTGGCTTGTCTCCCATGTGTGGCAACTTTAGGAGCCACTCTCCTCCTACCTCTGGAGAAGACTAGGGCTACCGTTTTTCTCTGAGCTTCCCAATCTTCATGCCCCTCATGGAAATTCTTCCCTTTTGTTTTCCCATCTCTGTCTTCCCTTGTGAACTCTCCCAATTCTGTCTATTTCCCTGCTCCTTAAGGTCAATTAGCCTCATTTTCCCCATCTTCTGTTTCTTCTCCCTCCAGATTTTGCTGGTCTTGCCACATCCTTCCCCAAATCTTGATTCTACAAGCAAGAAGATGACTCCTCTGACCTTGCTGTTGCAGCTGTTTTGCTACTCAGTGCCTCTGGGCCAGGTGAGATGTTTCATATCCCAGGTTACCCCTCACTGCACTCAGTCCTTTGGCAATTCACCCTCTCTGGATCCATCTTCACACTCAGTCCTCAGTGAACTATCAGCCAATGAAGACCGGGTAAGTATGGCCTCCCACCTTTCCACTACCCAATGGAAGAATTGAAGTGGCCTCCATTAGTGGTCTGCAGGTGAAGACTTTAAAAAGACAAAACCAAACCCAGAAATCAAAAGCTTTTGGTGGCCAGGCAACAGAATTCTGAAATGCTCAGCAGTTAGGCTGGAAAGCAAGAGGCTAGGCAGGTCTGTCTCAACCTCTAGATCAAAGATGGGGATATAGACAATGCCAAGAAAAGCTTCCATAACAAAAACCTTTGTTATAGTTAATAGCTCAGACTAAAATTCTTCAGTTTATTCTATTCACTGAGTAGCAGATCTTAAACCTGATGATAACGATTAGACAGATGCCATGCAGAATTTCAAGCTTTTCACCAATGATATAATAACAACCAGAGTAACAGTAGTGTTGCTACTCAGAGAGGAGATCTCACACGAGAGGTTGACAGATGTATGTGTGCATGGTATATTTCCAGTATTGATGGGATACTTACTTGATTTATTTACTGATTAAAGTCCCAATACAACTCCTATTGAAGCCAATGGAAATACTCCTGTTGACTTCAGTGGTATTTATAGTAATAGTAATATATGGTGTGAATTATTAGAAATCATTAGCTTTCTCCTTCTATGGAATAATGTTGCTTCGTTGGTGATCATATAAATGAATCATACTAATTTGACATAATATGGACATTTCTGCCCACTTCTGATTTTCACACTTATTAAGATACTTACATATGTGTCTGTGGTTTGCCTTCAAAGATGCTGTTCCATAGTGACATCCAAAGATGATACGTATATCACAAAACCTATACGCTTTCCCTTTCATAATTCCAAACTGTGAAAATTACCACTGTGCCTTCTTCAACCAGTTTATTTCTATTGAGGATTTGCCTTCCTGATCAAAGCCCATTGGAGTCAATGAAAGTCTTGAATTGGATTTGGATCAGGACCTTAATGGGAAAATCAGTTTTAGACAACTGGCAATGGTTTGCCATGTCACTGCTTTAGACACAATTATGAATTATAAATTGAAATGACAGTGATCTTGTCTTAGTCCTGATTTCATAATCCACTCAACTTTTAAGGCACAGTCAAATAAATTTCCTGGAACTAGAAGTGAATAGAACAGAAATCTTGATCCCATTGAAGTCAGTGGGAGTTTTGCCATTGACTTCAGTTAAGCCAGGATTTCACCGCAGAACTTTAAGTGAATCCGGACAACAATGGGGCACATGTAGCCTCTCTGGATTCTCAATTCTCTCTCTCTTAAACATCATTTTCATGGTTACAGCACCCACATCCATAGTCCCACTAAAAGCCCTGACATTTTGAAGATAGTCCTGAGGGCCTGAGAAATCCTCGAAATATGCCTAAGTTTTCTGGTTATTGTTGAGGTTCCTTGAACACCAGGAGGAAGAGAGAGGGGGGATTTGGAAGAGCAAAGAGAACCAGGTATGTGGGGGGAGGGGTAGAAAGAAAGGTTAATAGGGATGGCGGATAGAACCAGGGTTGGGGACTGGAGTACCAAGGAACACTGGATAGGAGAACAGAACAAGTGTGGAAGTGAGAAGAAATGGGGTGAGCCAGGTAAGGTAAGTAGTTTGTATGCTGTGTTCTCTCCATTACTTTGTACTCCTTAGTCTGTTTCTTGTATCCAGCTGTTGTCTGTTGTTTCATGCGTCAATAGTATGCTCTTCCATGAACTGTCTTTTTGTTATATGTTTTGTAATGCCTAGAGCAATAAGGGCTGGCTGCTGTAGGCACTAACTCAATACCAATAATAAGAATAATAGCTAATGAGGAGACTTAGGAGATAAGGGATTATTAACTTAGAAAGAAATCAAAAGGGAACATTATAAAAGTTTACAAAATAATGCATGGGATTGAGAAAGTAGATCGGAAACTTCTGTTGTCTCTGTCTTCTAACACAGGAACAAGGGGATAGTCAATTAAATTAAAAGGTGTCAAATTCAAAACTGATAAAGGAAATACTTTTACACAAAATGTGTAATTAGACTTTGGAACTCATTGCCATAAAACTCAATGTAGCTAAGAACTTAGCAAGATTCAAAAAAAGAAATTGGGTATTTATATAGATAACAATAGCCAGACTTTATCATAATTAATTATAACAAACATTTTCTGGAAAGGATATTAAATGTCATTCTTCGGTGTTTAAATCAATCTCTATTAATGATCAGGATGAGACATAATTGTGGGGATATTATCAAATATCAACCTACTGTGGTGTCCTTATATCTTCCTCTGAAACATCTGCTACTGGCTACTTTCAGAGAGACGGTAGTGGACTAGATCGATCTCCAGTCTGATCCAACATGGCAATTATTGTGTTTCTTGAGGAAGAAAACAGAGTATGCATGCCCTAGCCCTTAGGAAAAGGCAAGTGGGAGAGGGATAGATGAAGAAAGCAGGAAATAAAAACAAAGATCCTATCAACTCTTAGCATTTTTACACCCATCACCTCTCCATCTGAGAGTGAGAGAGAAAGAGAGCAGGAAACTGGAGTTACAAGAAAAAAAATATGGTGACAAGGGGGGAAAAGAAACCTGATGAAAGAAAAATAAAACTGAGGCAGAAGTAAAAGAATGGGAAAAGAAAAACAAGAATAGAGACAGTATTACGGTAAGTTCACTTTATTTTTACCTTATTCATATTCTAGCTTTACCTTTAGGAGTGGTCCTCAAAGATGTGATTCATTGATCTGTATTTTTTAGAAAAATATTATTGATGATCATTTTTCTTTTGCCTTGGGATATGCCTACAATTATTAGCCTAGTATACCACCAATATGCCTAAGAGATGGACCCTGCTCTCCATTCTTCTTTATTGTATTTCTGTAGAAAACTAGACACACACACACAGAGAGAGAGAGAGGAACATTTGTTTCTGAATTCTAAAGTAACCCATGTACTAAACAAAAAAGGGTTATTGTATAAAGTGTATTTGGAAAATAAGTAAATTATGCTCATAAAAACAGAGAGTTAGCAAGAGATGGATGAACCGCTATGGATAAAATAGGAACCAAACCAAACATTTTTTTAAGGTTTGAAAAACTTTTAGGGTTTTTTTCTCTCATGCTTTCCAAGCACTTTTTCAAATTCTGGTTTCATCCATATCACTGTGAGAATGATTATTCTCAGTTTATTTCTGACCCATCTGAACCCATAACCAGCTGGAATCTCACATGAAAGACTGATCTCATATGATTTCCAGCCTGTTTTCAAGATGCATTTTTCTGCAGCCTCTCATTTCTGGGAAGTCAATGAGGATGCTACTTTCTGGTGTGAGGCTGGGCAGTGTCATCATATACAGTATGTTTGCCTGAATGATTAATTCTTTCTGATACCAGAGTGCCTGAATTTCATTTTGTATCCTAGGTTAGGTTTGGTTGGTGGTTCAAACACCTCCTAACTTCATGATCTCCTTTCAAATTTACGCAAAAGGCACCTAAGAAACCAAAAACTGAAACAAGGTGTGGAAAGAGATTGTCTCCCAAAAAAGGATACGTATCAACTGAATGAAAGTCAAATGGACACAGTCGAAATGGTGCTCTGTTATCTTCTGTATAAAAATATCAGCCATTCTGTCTTCAGAAATTATTTGGCTGCCGAACAGGGCAGCTGACTCCACATTCTTTGCCATTCCATTTCTCAGACAAAAGGTTGGCTCCTCTTTCTCTAAGATGATGGCTTCACAAATTCAGGTTTGTCCTCAAACATTCAGCTGCTGTATTACACCATTACCATCAGAGCTTTGCCTCGGCACTTTCCCAGCACTGCTACCACATAAATGGATGCAGAGACATTTTTGCACACACTCGATTGGTCTACAAAAATTAGTCAAAATCTTAACAATAAGCCAAGACTTTAGCAAGACCCTACATCAGAGATGGCTGTTTATTAATTTACAGTCCCGCCTTCTTCTCTTCTACTTAGTGTCTGCCTGTGTTCTTATATCCGGTCCATCACCAACTGAGTGCCTGTTAACTGCTAGTGTTT